AATTCTACTATGCTTGAACGAGAAATGTCCCCCATTTGGAAATGGCCTGAAGACACTACAGTCAATGGCACTGCCCTGCGGGGTATGCAACACTCTGAGCTCTTTAACTTCCAAAAAAAACAACTGACAAGCATCTAGTTGTACCAACCAGATATACGACAGGACCACCTAAGGACAGAGGTGAGCTAGGGTTTAACACAAAGCGCTTCTCTCACAGTTTAAATTCTTTATCCAAATATTTTCCTTTGTTCTACTGCTGAATCGAAAGTTTAAATTTAACAACTGAAAAACGAAGCAAAACTTTCCAGATGGCCACTCTCTCTCTCTTGCCCTTTTTAACTCCCAGTGGAGCACAGGCCATCAACAACATTACTCCAGCGAAGCCTGTCCTGAGCATCCTTTTCTATCTGTTTCCGTGATGTCCCCGCTTTTTCAATTTCCGACCAATAACTCTACATGCCCGTAAATTGACGAGAGCCTGATTCCACCACGCTGCCTCACAATTAAAAATAATATGTATATATTAATAAATAACACTTTAAAAACGCCTACTTCTTCTACCTGGAGGATCTACGAGCTTCAAAATAAAATTAAACTTAGATAAGGTTTCATGCATACTGGCCCGTTCAACGTACAATAATCCTTTCAAATACATACATATCCGTAATCTGACAAAAGAACACATACACACACATACGCAAACACACAAATAGGCGGGACTCACTTCAGCAGCCAGAAGAGTTTATGACCCATGTGCTGGTTCTTGAGGGCTCTCCGTAGCAGGAACTCCGCCAGGGGGCAGCACAGGTGGGTCTCGAACTTGAGGGCCTGGACCAGCTGTAGCAGGTACTGGGCGAGGTCGTCGTCACTGGGGGGACACACAGACAGACAATGTACACATAGATAGACACACACACACACACACACACACACAGCGTAGCAGGAACTCGGCAGGGGGGGCAGCACAGGTGGGTCTCGAACTTGAGGGCCGGGACTAGCTGTACACATAGATAGACACACACACACACACACAAAATGAAGCGGGCACTGGATTAGATCGTTGTCACTGGAGGGACAGACAGACAGACAATGTACACATAGACACACATACA